TTTGTAAGATTTTTGTTTTTGATTTTTTGATAAACTTAGAAATTGCTCATTTTCCTCATAACTAACACATTTTTTTGAATTTTCAATTCTTGAGATTTTTGAATGTCTTATTTTGGAAACAACGTAAGATAACGTAAAACTTTGAGCTCAATTATCTCAGTACCTGTCAAAGATATGAAAATGTAATCAACTGATAAATTGTTTATCATAATATCATGAACATTTTATCTGTTGACACATTTTGGATGTCTCTTATAGGAATTTAGATGATTGAGCTCAAACGTGACAGTGTGGGGAGCTTTTCTTTTCCCATTAGCGCTGATCGAATTTTCAATGGCATTTTTTGAGGGTTTTGACCAACTCTTCGTTTAAATACTGTGAATGTCCTTAGCTTTTAAAGTAATACTTCCAAAGTCCGCACAGCTACCGTACCGGGCGATAACTGCTCGACTGTCAAGTTTCCAATCACTTTGAAAATTTTGGAAGATGTAAAACTGATCTAGATTAAAAACTTCACATTCACAGAGTTTTTTTTTGATAATTTCTAGTTGTCAGCTATTTGTCCACTTTTGAAAGACACCGTTTTTGGCTTGTTTTTGTACTGAAAACATGAAAACAGGATTTTTCTAGTACCTCCACCAATGATTCTAAACGTGCGTAACTCCTTTTTCTCCAGCTTCTCCATCTTCCTCTAGTCGATTTTTCTTTTCCCAACTTCCCAAAGGTGCCAATTTCCGACTACTATAACTACTACTAATATCCTCCAGATGTTCCATTCTTCTCAGTTTCTTTTTTTGCCAAAAAACACTATAGAACAAGCCGGTCATCATAATTTTGATGTGACGTTCTTCTCTCATGCTGCTTTCCCATAATTATACTCACTTTTTACTCCCGCGATCACTTCTTTTCGCTTCTCTCTCTCTCTCTCTCTCTCTCTCTCTCTCTCACTCACTCTCGGTGTTGTTCTTTTCTCGTGTTTCGTTCCACACACACCTTTTTGGTCATCATCATCAACATCTTCTTCTTCTTGTTTTTTTTCTGTTGTCTCCTTCTATTTCAATACTATTTGGGAAGGTGGTGGTGGGGTGGCAGGAAAAATAATGTAACTGTTTACAAATTAGTACAATTTTTTAATAACTTTTTTGATAAGATAGGCGAGTATATGGTTTTCAGAAACTGAAACTTTTAAACATTTCCTTTGAATCTTCAAAAAATAGGATTCAAGTTCTAGACTTCGCAAATAGGACTTTCTCGGAATTTGAATTTCTAGAATTTCAGAGCCGTAGTAGGTTCAGATAAGGTTCAGGATTTTCGAGCGTTCGTTTCTCTATTTTTATAACTGTTTTAATTTCGAAATTCTGGAATTTTCAGATTCCTAGGCTTCTGGCATCCCGCCTTATTGGACTTCTTAATATTCGATTTTTTTAAAATTTCCGATTTTCGAATTTCGTGGTTTTTAGATTTTAGTAAAATAGAGCTCAAAAAGCTCTTAATTTTGAAAACACCAAATTTTTAGAGCTCTTTGAAATTGAATTAACTATTCAGAATTCAAAAAAGCAGTTCCACCTTTTTCCTGTAAATTACAGCTTCAAATTCCAGGTATAGATTTTAGTAGGATTACTGTAACTCTATTATTATAAAAATTTCGATTATAATTCAAAATTCAAGGGTGAAAAACATTTTTTTTTCATCGTTTTATTCAAAAAATTTTCTTCTTGGTTCTAAAACTGAAAATAGTTCTATTTCGATATTCTCAAAATTCTCAAAATTCCATTTTCAAATGTTTAGCTTTCTTATACAGTACCGGTCAATAAAGTATACAAAAACGTATTTTTCAGTTTATTCTCGGCCGTTTTCACCATTTTCAAGAGTTTGGAGCACGGTTGTCAAGTTTCCAATCACATTGAAAACTTTAGAGGGTGTAAAACAGACCTAGATTAAAAGTTTTGCATTTACAAAATTTCTAGTTCTTCAGCTATTAGTCTATTTCTTAAAGACACGTTTCCAGTACAAAAACGGGGTACAGTAGCTCTGGAATGTGATTTTGAGCGTTTTTGACTCTCTTTTTCAGAACAATCATCTGCTTTCGGATTCCCCAAAAATAAATTCATCCAAAATTTGCGCGAAATTTGAATTTTCATTTTCCTCATCTCTCTTGTCTCCATGCCTTTATTTCCCTCAATTGACCATTTCATTTGACCCCCCCCCCCTCTCTTCTATTTCCAATTTCTTTTGATTTCTGAATAGAGGGAACAATATGTGAAGGTTGTCTATGTTTTCCGCCCTCTTTGACTCTTCATTTTCTTTTTTTCTATATACCACTCTTTTTGAGGATTCTTGAAGAGTTTTTCGAGTTTTTGGAAAGGTCATTTTTTCCAATTTTTTTAATTTTTATCGAAGAATTTCTGAAAATCTGGATTTGATCTGGATCAATTTTCTGAGTTTCTGACTTATCAAACTTCTAAATTTCCTAACTTCCGAACTTCGTGTTTTCTGAATTTCCGAATTCTTGAACTTCTGAATTTCAAAGTTTTTGAGATTTTGACTTTTTGAAGCTCCGCCTTTCTGGACTTCTTCCTATTTTGAACTTGTAAGTTTTTCAATTTCAAACTTTTTGAATTTAAAATTTTCGAATTTCTCAAATTCTCGATTCTTTTCATCCGCCTCGAAGTGCACCGAAGGCACTCCAACCATTTGACCTATTTTTTTACCTATTTTTCCTCTGAATTCTCTTCCTAAAATCCCCTGTCAATTAGTCTGGATTTTGTGTTTTTGGGATTTTTTTTTGGTTTTGGTTTGAAACCAAAAACCAAAAGAAAAGGAAATCGAGGCTAAGTGGTTTCGGATTTTCCCCCACATTCTTCCTTTTTTCTCTGATTTTCAAGTATTTGTCTTTTTCATTTTTCTTTTTATTCAAATCTTCTTCTAGTAACCAAAACCACTTTTTCTACTTTGGCTTTTCTGGTTTTTCACGAAATTCAGACTTATTAAATTTTCCAAAAATCAGAAATTCAGGCATTCGAAAAATTCCCAAAAATTTGGAAATTCCTGGAAACTCAGAAATTCAGAAATTCAGAAATTCAGAAATTTAAAAATTTAGAAATTTAGAAATTTAGAAATTTAGAAATTTAGAAATTTAGAAATTTAGAAATTTAGAAATTTAGAAATTTAGAAATTTAGAAATTTAGAAATTTAGAAATTCAGAAATTCAGAGATTCAGAAATTCCTGGAAATTCAGAAATTCAGAAATTAAGAAATTCAGAAATTCAGAAATTCAGAAATTCAGAAATTAAGAAATTCAGAAATTCAGAAATTCAGAAATTCAGAAATTCAGAAATTCAGAAATTCAGAAATTCAGAAATTCAGAAATTCAGAAATTCAGAAATTCAGAAATTCAGAAATTCAGAAATTTAGAAATTCAGAAATTCAGAAATTCAGAAATTCAGAAATTCAGAAATTTAGAAATTCAGAAAATCAGAAATTCAAAAACTTTTGAAGATTCCAGTCTTTCTGAAATCCAAATGAGAATATGATTTTTTTTCTAAATTCAAAACTTCGCCTAACCAAAATTTCCTCTTCTTTCAATTATTCTCTCCCTTCTCCTCCTTTTTTAAAAATCCCGATACCATCTAAATTTCCCTATTTTCCAATTTCTAGTCCCCATATACGCCCAAGTTTTTAAATCCATCGGAAACTCCTTTTTGATCTAAAAATCTCGAGATTTGTCCCGCCGGGAGAAAGACATAAAAAGTGAATTAAAAACTTGGACGATATGAATCTCTCCTCTAAATTTTCCTATTTTTCGGATTCATATCTCAATTTTCCGCCTTTTCATATTCTCTGAAATGTTCCATTCCTTGATTTCCTACATTTTTTGTAATTTTTGTTTAGGGAAACTGGCTGAAAATGTCTGAAATTCTTTTCAAGACTCTCCTGGTTTTGCTGTAAATTTTAGTTAGGACAACTAGCTAAAAATATATAGAAAACGTTTGGAAATTCTAGATTTTTAATTAGCGTAAACACTCTAATGAAACGCCATCCAGGCCGTCCACTTTGAACTTATATATCTCACTTCTTTTGAAAGATATCAAAAAGTAATCAACTGATTAAATGTTTATCATAATATCAGCAACGTTTTACTGGTTAGCCACTTTTTGATATCTCTCACAGAAAATGAGATACATGGACTCAAATTTGACGATTCGGGTGGCGTTCTATTAGAGTGGTTACGGTATTTTTTAAAATACCATTATATGAAATTCCGCTTTTTTAAAATCATGAACCACTCCTGAAGATGATCGAAACTTCCAGAAAAAAGTCTTTAATAGAACTTGAATTCTCATATTTCCTCCGCTTTGAGATACAAAAAAAAGAATCTGAACATTTCTAGGGGATTAAAGGAGACACTCAGGATTTCTATTATGTGTACATGGAAATTAGAAAATCCCTTTGGCATTTTTACTTCATCTTAACCAAGTTACATTTATTTGTTCCTTTGCTTATTTTCTTATTTTTTCAGTAAGCTAGTTGTATAGATTTCCGTTTCAGCCAATGAAAATGTTCCAGATTACTTATTTAGTTGAAAATGGTTCATTTCGAGAGACTGAATGAGTACTCTCACACCTATGACCGAGCTTCTAATTTTGAGCTCAATCATCTCTGTTCTCGTCAAAGATTTCAAAAAATCGTCAACTGATAAACAGTTTATCATAAAATCACCTATATTCTATCAGTTCACACATTTTTGATATCTTTGATAGGACCTGAGATAATTGAGCTCAAACATAACAGGGTGGGGGCTCTTCTATAACAGGGGTTTTTGAAGTTTTAGTAGAATTTTACAGTTTTTGTATACTGTACCTTTTAAGAATCATATTAGATAACTCCATAATACTTGAGCCATCAAAAATCTAGGTTTTAATGATCTCCGGTTCTTCTATTCAAACTATTTTTTAAATTTAAAAAATCAAAATTCCAATTCTCCAAATTTCAGACAGAACATGGATTGGATCTACTCGTGGAAGGATTCCATTTTCTACGGGATTTGTAGTTGCAGTGGAAGTCCGGCGTACCATGAGAAGGACCACCCATCACACCACCATGATCGGTGAGTTAATGATTTGAAGAATATTTGGCGGGAATTAAAAAATTTTGAAAAGTCAAATGTTGAGTTTTCAGGATCGACATGCCACTCCAGCTCAAGGCTTACAGGTTAGTTACTTTTCTGGATTTTCCTAGAATTTTCTAAAAGGTAGGTGCACCATGTTTAACTTACTAGATGCTCCAAAAAGTTTGGTATTTCGTAAATTTAAGGTCCCTGGGTCACTGGGTCCTGGTCTAAAAATTAGAAAAAAAACCTATTTTGGGTTAAACGATGCTCCGATATTCCACCGTTTTTCCAACTTTTCCTCTATTTTTATCTTGTTAAATACCCTCAATTATCCCCCAAGATCCTATAACTGAAGAGCTGTCAATCACAGAAATCCGGAGATGAGTCAATTGGAGAAAAAAATAGGAGGAATCTGACATAGACAGAAAACCTCTACTACGTGTGTTTACAACATGTAATTGTGACAACTCACTGACAGGAAAGATGGGAAAAATAGTCAAGAAAATAGCCAATGCTTTTCAATGAGCCTAAAAACTGATCAGAGCTCCAGATCAGTAGATCAAAAAATCAAAAAAAAAATTCAGACGGATTCTGACCCATATCCATAAAAAAGCATCACAAATCATGGATTCCCAGATTCTTAGATTTTCGCTGTCATAAATTTTCAGATCTGGATTTTTAGCTTTCTCGGATTCCTAGATTTTTGAGCTTCTGAGTTGTCCGATTCTGAAGATTTACGAATTTCTGGGTTCCTAGATTCAAGGCTGTCAGAATCAGGACCATAGACCAATCAGTCCGTCTTTTCGAAAATAAGCTCAGCCAGCCAAAAACTATCAGGGCCGCTAGGCCGCCGAATCCTACGTATTCCAGAAGTACCTGAACAAAAAATTCCTCGGCACTGATTGCCTAGATTTTTCGATTTTTGTTGCCTTGGAGTCATATGCAAACCAGAAAAAAATTCTCCGAAAATTTTAAAATTTCATTTTCCCAACAACAAGTTAATCCCATCAAATATCATCACTATCATCATTTTTATTTATCACAGGTCCTGAAAAACTGGAAATCGGATTTTTTCTATTTTCATTCATCCCTGGATAATCCTCTAATTCTCATTTTCTTTGACATTATAAAAATAAGTGTACACATGGATGAGAAAATGCTCATTATACAAATGTATCGAATTCTTTTCCTTACTACTAGTCTTCAGAAATCTGAGGAAGCTTTCTCTAAAATGTCAGAAAATGTGAGAAGAAGCTCATAATTTTGGATTTGTTCAACTTTTAGTTAAATACGAAATTCCAGATATTTAAAAAAAAATCAGAAGTTGAAATTATTATTTTTTTGCATTCTGATATTATGGAATTCTTGAATTCCACATTTCGGGATCTTTCAGACCAAAAATTTTTTCAGATCATAAATTTTTCTGAATTTCTGAATATCTGAATTTCTGAATTTCTGAATTTCTGAATTTCTGAATTTCTGAGTTTCTGAAATTCTGAATTTCTGAAATTCTGAATTTCTGAATTTCTGAATTTCTGAATTTCTGAATTTCTGAATTTCTGAATTTCTGAATTTCTTAATTTCTGAATTTCTGAATTTCTGAATTTCTGAATTTCTTAATTTCTGAATTTCTGAATTTCCAGGAATTTCTGAATCTCTGAATTTCTGAATTTCTAAATTTCTAAATTTCTAAATTTCTAAATTTCTAAATTTCTAAATTTCTAAATTTACGAAAAAATGCGGCAAAAACGTAATATTTCAGAACTTCTTTCGCGTTTAAGTTTAGTTTTTTTTGCTGAAACATAGATTCTAGAGATGCTAGCGATCTTTTTTATACCAAGAAATCAAAATTTTGCTTACAAAATCCCACTAAATTCACATAAATAAATTTGGTATCTACAGTATCCGTTTTCGCTCCGCCCCCTCGTAAATCGACATGAGCGCCGTCTCCGAGATTTTCAGGTGTCACTTTTTTTAATCCGACAATACTTGAATTTCACAACTTCTAGGATTTCCGAATTTCAGAATTTCAGAGTTCCCGAGTTTCCAGAACATCTTGAATTTCTGAATTTCTGAATTTCTGAATTTCTGAATTTCTGAATTTCTGAATTTCTGAATTTCTGAATTTCTGAATTTCTGAATTTCTGAATTTCTGAATTTCTGAATTTCTTTAGAATCAGATAAAATAAATCCTAAAAAGAAATTTCCCATTTCTGAACTTTTGCCACATTTCCCGGAAACTCTAGAGCTAACCAGTTTTTTCGATAATAATCTTTTCACATTTCCCTGTTTTCCCTTCTCGCAGCAAAAATAATAACATTTGACCTACCACAAACTAGGCTCCGCCCCCTTTTCCCATTTACATACATTTTTTATCATTTGTTTCCCCTCTGTTTTCCAGTCATAAACGTGTCCAAAATGCCATTTCCATTAGTAATACTCGAACGAAAATAGGCTCCGCCCACTTTTGAGAATACTTGAACGACCTTTTGAAAAGCGGTTTTCTTCTCCTTTTATTCTTTTTCCTTTTTACCCAAAAAAAACAAGAGATTCTTGAATCTGAGAATGGCGGGAATAGGAGGGAAATGCCATTATAACTGATTGCCATTTCATGATTTTCCCAGAGTGTCTAGAGAAGGTGTTCAAGGTTACTGTAGTTTTTTTGGGGTTTGGCGGGGATCAGAGATCTTTTGAATCCTCTTGGAATCGGGATATAGGATTCTTTGATTCCTGAATTCTTTTCAAAATTCCTATATTCTTAGATTCTTGGATTCTTGGATTCTTGGATGCTTGGATTCTTGGATTCTTGGATTCTTGGATTCTTGGATTCTTGGATTCTTGGATTCTTGGATTCTTGGATTCTTGGATTCTTGGATTCTTGGATTCTTGCATTCTTGGATTCTTCCAAAATAGATTCAAGTAATGACTCTAAAATTACCAGGTTTTGGAAGAGGTTCCAATTTCAAATGATCCCAATTTTACTTTCAAAAAAAAACACTCTTCGGTCTTTTTTTTTGCCCTTCAGCCCATCCCAAAAATCCATCCATCCTCTGATGAGTAATAAAATACACTTAGTAAAAGACACAAAAATATAAACTAGAAGATCGACAATCTCTTTTTACTGATAGGTATTACTGATCACTAGGTAAACACATACACATCTCTCTCTCTCTCTCTCTCTCTCTCTCTCTCTCTTCCCAAGTTTTGTCTCATTTTCCTCCTCCAAAAACTTTGTTTCTTTCATTTCTATCTTTCCGAAGCTCCGCCCACTTTTCTTTACTAGTTTACACCTCTCTTCACCCGTTTGTTCTCCCCCCTATAGCCCATGGGCTGTGTCCATTTCGTTCATTTTTTTTTGTTCGTCAATTTTTTTCGGTGTGGCTTTTAGGTTTTTTTTTGTTTCCCGTCTCGGTATTGTTGCCGCCAGTATCAATTTGGTAATTTATTTTTGAAAATTTTGCAAAAAAAATTTATTCAGAAATTTGAAAATTGGGTCTAATTTCTAGAAACGGAGTTGAATTTTTTGATTTTTTGAAATTTCGAAAATTATGTCAAGATTTTAGAATCGGTACCTTGAGTTATGAAATAGGCTGAAATTGAAATTGGGTCAAAAAAGTAGGGAAATGGCCAATTTGAACCAGTTTTACCTTTTTTGAAGAGGTCAGAAATTCAGAAATTCAGAAAATCAGAAATTCGGAAATTCAGAAATTCAGAGATTCAGAAATTCAGTAATTCAGAAATGCAGAAATTCAGAAATCCAGAAATTCAGAAATTCAGAAATTCAGAAATTCAGAAATTCAGAAATTCAGAAATTCAGAAAATTAGAAATTCAGAAATTCAGAAATTCAGAAATTCAGAAATTCAGAAATTCAGAAATTCAGAAATTCAGAAATTCAGAAATTCAGAAATTCAGAAATTCAGAAATTCAGAAATTCAGAAATTCAGAAATTCAGAAATTCAGAAATTCAGAGATTCAGAAATTCAGTAATTCAAAATTCAGAAATTCAGAAATCCAGAAATTCAGAAATTCAGAAATTCAGAAATTCAGAAATTCAGAAATTCAGAAATTCAGAAATTCAGAAATTCAGAAATTCAGAAATTCTAAAAATGACTGGAAAACAGAGGGGAAACAAATGATAAAAAATGTATGTAAATGGGAAAAGGGGGCGGAGCCTAGTTTGTGGTAGGTCAAATGTTATTATTTTTGCTGCGAGAAGGGAAAACAGGGAAATGTGAAAAGATTATTATCGAAAAAACTGGTTAGCTCTAGAGTTTCCGGGAAATGTGGCAAAAGTTCAGAAATGGGAAATTTCTTTTTAGGATTTATTTTATCTGATTCTAAAGAAATTCAGAAATTCAGAAATTCAGAAATTCAGAAATTCAGAAATTCAGAAATTCAGAAATTCAGAAATTCAGAAATTCAGAAATTCAGAAATTCAGAAATTCAAGATGTTCTGGAAACTCGGGAACTCTGAAATTCTGAAATTCGGAAATCCTAGAAGTTGTGAAATTCAAGTATTGTCGGATTAAAAAAAGTGACACCTGAAAATCTCGGAGACGGCGCTCATGTCGATTTACGAGGGGGCGGAGCGAAAACGGATACTGTAGATACCAAATTTATTTATGTGAATTTAGTGGGATTTTGTAAGCAAAATTTTGATTTCTTGGTATAAAAAAGATCGCTAGCATCTCTAGATATTCAGAAATTTGAAAATTGGGTCTAATTTCTAGAAACGGAGTTGAATTTTTTGATTTTTTGAAATTTCGAAAATTATGTCAAGATTTTAGAATCGGTACCTTAAGTTATGAAATAGGCTGAAATTGAAATTGGGTCAAAAAAGTAGGGAAATGGCCAATTTGAACCAGTTTTACCTTTTTTGAAGAGGTCAGAAATTCAGAAATTCAGAAAATCAGAAATTCGGAAATTCAGAAATTCAGGATTCAGAAATTCAGTAATTCAAAATTCAGAAATTCAGAAATCCAGAAATTCAGAAATTCAGAAATTCAGAAATTCAGAAATTCAAGATGTTCTGGAAACTCGGGAACTCTGAAATTCTGAAATTCGGAAATCCTAGAAGTTGTGAAATTCAAGTATTGTCGGTTAAAAAAAGTGACACCTGAAAATCTCGGAGACGGCGCTCATGTCGATTTACGAGGGGGCGGAGCGAAAACGGATACTGTAGATACCAAATTTATTTATGTGAATTTAGTGGGATTTTGTAAGCAAAATTTTGATTTCTTGGTATAAAAAAGATCGCTAGCATCTCTAGAATCTATGTTTCAGCAAAAAAAACTAAACTTAAACGCGAAAGAAGTTCTGAAATATTACGTTTTTGCCGCATTTTTTCGTAGATCAAAAAAAAACAAAAGTTTTCAAATTCTCAGGTCTCACTTTTTTTTAATTCGACAATAGCCAGAAACACTGGAAGTTCTGGTATCGTTGAAATTTTTCAAATTTTTTTTCCAAGATTTCAAATTCCTAGTTTTCATAAAACTTGGATTTTATATTCTGGATTATTTTTTTTTTTTGAAATTCTAGTCTGAAAAATTCTGAATCCTAATTTACAAAATCACTTTCTCAAATTTCAAATTTGCCAAACTCCCTAATCCTCTTGTACGCCAGATTCTTCCGGTTCTAATACCTTTTACTGTTTTCCATTTCCTCATTATTTTACTTTTCTCCATCGTCTCAGTATTGCCAACATCATCATCATCATCATCGTCATTATATTCAGAAGCAAAATCTAAGAAGAAGAATAAAAAGACGTCGTCTGGAGGCTACTTCTTTTGCTACAAATCCTCCAATTATCCATTTTGCCATCGTCGTCACCGATCTAGTAGAAAAAACACTGTATATACATTACATTTCGGCAACTTTTTGAATTCCCAATAGAATCTTGGCAAATTGAAATTTGAAAAATTCAAATTTCGTGCCAAGCCATGACATCTTCTCCCCAAATCTTCCGAAGCCGTCGTCACCAATCTCAAATATCTACTCGAAATGGAGTATGCATCATTTCGATCAAAGCAGCGTCCATGGATTCTTCTGACGACGTTCAGAAGAGCCAGACGCCGTCGTCACCAATCAAAGGAATCTTCAGAAGACAAAGCAGACCGATGAGGAAGAGCGCCAAGGCGCTCTTCCAGCAGTTTGGTGTTGGAAATAAGGGGATTCTTGCGAGGTGAGATTTTGGGACAAAAGTGGAGATAGAAAAATCAGGATAAATTGGTGGAATATCAGAGCATCTTACCCAAAAAAATCCAAAAATTCGTATGAAAAAAGTCCCCAAAAAGTTAAAAATTCAAAAGTGTTTTCATCTTTTCCTGAATTTCAAATTTTCAAGAACCATTTCTCAAAATCTGATAATTCGTCTGAAAGTGCTGGAATTTTCAAAAATCACTTCCTTATATTTACTTTTAATTTTCTGAAATTTCTCTCTTCCTTTTTTCTATTCTATTTTACCCTATTAGAACTTTTTCCTAGAATGCTAAAATTTTTTCCTAAAATTTCTAAAATTTCCAATTTCCTAAATCTTTCGTCTGATTTAGAAGGACCTCCCACACGTTTGCGCTCAATTATCTCGACTCCTATGAGAGATATCAAAAATGTGTCTACTGATAAAACAACTCTGATGTTATGATAAACAATTTATCAGTTGTCAACCTTTCTATATCTTTAACAGAAACCGAGATAAATTGGCTCAAAGTTACCTTAACTTGTTTTTTTATCCAAATTTCGATTTAAAAAAACCAATATCAGTTTATCAAACATATTAATTTTTTATTCGTCACTATCAAAAAATGCGGTACATGTTTTTTTTTTTCGAAAGTTTGACAAACGTTTCGACCAAAGTATCCGACCGCGGTCAGGTGTTCTCTACCTATATTTCTCATTTTCTCTAAATCTCTCCTAAACAAATAATGTCTATTTTTTCAACTGTTTGTATGGGAGGGTGCTAAGTGACTGATTTTTTGAGTTTGTGGAAGTTTTGTGATGACTCATTAGGTCAATCGACACACAAATTTTTTAACCAACTTCACGTTTTTCGAAAAGTTCTATTGCGTTTTTTGTTAGGAAGTAATAAGTCGGTAGGAGGGGATTATTAATGATGTCATGGTATTTTTTTTGTTTGAAAAAGGAGAATTTTGAGATTGGAATGTTTAGAAATCCAGGAAATTCTGGATTCGGAAATTTAGGGATCCCAGAACTTTGGGATCGAAAATTCGGAAATCCAGGAACTTTAGGATCGGAAAATTTAGAAATCCAGGAAGTATTCGGTTCGAAATTTCAAGAATCCAGTGAGGATTATAGGATCCCAATTGTTCAAAATCCAAAAATTTCAACATTGAAAAATCTAGGAAAGTTTGAATTTTGAGTTCTGAGAATTGAGAAATCTCGGAAATACGGAATTCCTAAATTCAGAAATCCAAATATCTCAGAGTTTGAAAATTCGGAAATTCAAAAATCCTAGAATCCGAAAGTTCAGGAATCAAGGGATCTTAGAATCTGTAAATCTAGAAATCCAGGAAGTTCCAGATGAAAAAAATTGAGAGAATCTTAAGATTTGAAATTTTTGAAATCCAAGAGTATGGAAAACTAAAATTCTATGAATCTATAAATCAAGAAATCGTGAAATAAAATAATCCGAAAGCTGAATGTTCCAGATTTCTAAAAATTTGGAAATCCAGGAATCCAAAAATCCGAAAATCCATAAATCTAGGAACCCGTAAGCTAAAAAAAATGGGATTCTAAAAATTCAGAAATCTAGGAATTCATAAATCTGGAAAATTCAATATTTTCTAATTTCAAGGATTCAGAAAATCTGCTTTTGGACCTTATGGCGCGTTCAAAGTTCATTTCCAGGAGTAATTTCCTGGAAACACGCTGTCCAAAGCTGCCATTGTTTTCCAGAGGCCTCCGCTTCGAGACCCGCCGTAAATGGACATGAATCAACAGGAAGAACACCGTCCAAACGAGTGCTCCAGT